AAAAGTAGATATGTGTTATAAAAGTTAACCTACAAATCACCGTTTACAAAAAAGGGGTTTAGCGATTTAAATGTGATGTTTCTTAAAAATTTCAGTTTTTGCATTGACTTTAAAGAATTGTAACTCAACCATTACTTAGAATTTTTAGACAAGATTAGTGGCGTTTGATAGCCTTATAGGTTAGCTACTAAATAAACTTAGAATCGTGTCAATCCGATGTCGGTAGAATTTTGTATGTCACTTAAGGTAAACTGCACTAGCTAGTGTTGCTGTTTTCCAGCTTTTGCCTTGACTTCAAAAATTCATAACTCGACCGTTATTTGGAATTTATGGATGAGACTATTTGGATTTGATAGTCTCATGGATGAGCTACTGAATACATTTGAAATCATGAGGTTTTGATATCTGTGGAATTTTATATGTCATTTTAAGTGAACTGCAATCGGGTCTCTGTTGGGTTTTGAAAAATATTTTAATACCTCTGCAATCGGGCCATTTTTCGAAAGAATGAACACTTGCATATTTAGAACGGTTGGAGAGTCGGCGGACGAAGAATTGAGCATTACATTTGCACACGGTGTCCGTTTTGGACCCATAAGGCCTTTTTGGAAATATAGCGACCGTTTCGGATTGAACTCACCACTTCGTCGTGACGTATGGGCGAGTTCAACCATTTTTCAAAAGAATGAGCACTTGTAAATTTGGAACGCTTGGATTGTCGGCGTACGAAGAATTGAGCGTAACTTTTACACACGGTGTCCGTTTTGGGCCATAAGTACTTTTTGGAAATGTAGCGACCGTTTTGGATTGAACTCACCACTTCGTCGTGACGTACGAGTGATTTTGGCCATTTTTCGAAGGACAGAGCGCTTGTATATTGAGAACGCTTGGAGAGTCGGCGGACGAAGAATTGAGCGTAACTTTTGCACACGGTGTCCGTTTTGGGCCCATAAGAACTTTTTGGAATTGTAGCGACCGTTTTGTATTGAACTCACCACTTCATCGTGACATACAAGGGATTTTGGCCATTTTTCGAAAGAATGAGCAATTGCAAATTTAGAACGGTTGGAGAGTCGGCGGACGAAGAATTGAGCGTAACTTTTGTACACGGTGTCCGTTTTGGCCCCATAAGAACATTTTGGAAATGTAGCGACCGTTTTGGATTGAAATCACCACTTCATCGTGACGTACGGGGGAGTTCAACCATTTTTGGAAAGAATAAACACTTGCATATTTGGAACGCTTGGATTGTCGGCGTACGAAGAATTGAGCGTAACTTTTGCACACGGTGTCCGTTTTGGGCCCATAAGTACTTTTTGGAAATGTAGCGACCGTTTTGGATTGAACTCACGACTTCGTCGTGACGTACGAGTGATTTTGGCCATTTTTCGAAGGAATGAGCCCTTGTATATTGAGAATGCTTGGAGAGTCGACGGACGAAGAATTGAGCGTAACTTTTACACACGGTGTCCGTTTTGGGCCCATAAGAACTTTTTTGAAATGTAGCGATCGTTTTGGATTGAACTCACGACTTCGTCGTGACGTACGAGGGATTTTGGCCACTTTTTGAAAGAATGAGCCCTTGCATATTTAGAACGGTTGGAGAGTCGGCGGACGAAGAATTGAGCGTAACTTTTGCAGACGGTGTCCGTTTTGGGCCCATAAGAATTTTTTGGAAATGTAGCGACTGTTTTGGATTGAACTCACCACTACGTCGTGACGTATGGGGGAGTTCAACCATTTTTCGAAAGCATGACCACTTGCATATTTGGGACGCTTGGATTGTCAGCGTACGAAGAATCGAGCGTAACTTTTGCACGCGGCGTCCATTTTGGGCCCATACGTACTTTTTGGAAATGTAGCGACCGTTTTGGATTGAACTCACCACTTCGTCGTGACGTATGGGGGAGTTCAACCATTTTTCGAAAGAATGAACACTTGCATATTTGGGACGCTTGGATTGTCAGCGTACGAAGAATCGAGCGTAACTTTTGCACGCGGTGTCCGTTTTGGGCCCATAAGTACTTTTTGGAAATGTAGCGACCGTTTTGTCTGTGGAATTTTATATGTCATTTTAAGTGAACTGCAATCGGGTCTCTGTTGGATTTTGAAAAATATTTTAATACCTCATGTGATACTGACAGAAGCTAATTTCTTACTATGTCATACTATAAGGAGTTTCATGCTTTACATTAAAATTTGATGATGTCTAGAGGTCGATAACTATGCAAACGAATTTATTTGACACTTACCCTGTGAGATAGAAAAAGAAAACAGCTTTGTTTAGTTAGTGTTAGTAAGATTTTGGGAAATATTTTAATGCCTCATATGTTACTGACGGAAGCCAAATTTTGGATATGTTATATTATGAGATGTTCCCTACTTTACATTAAAATTTTATGAAATTTGACATTGATAACTATGCAAACGAGTTTATTTTAAAATAGATTACTCTCTTTCTTACTTCCTAAAGTAGTTCACACATGGAAAACTATCACACATTTTATTTGTTTGGAAGATATGTACTTGTCACTATTCACGTAATAAATTAGGTATATGCATGGATTTGCCGACTCTTTTCTTCTTTAATAAATGCCTTTGGAATTATGTTAATATTATATAACTATCTAAAAGTATATTTTTAATGGAAAATTCATTGGTAGTTATTTTTAAAAAAATAAAAATATATAGTTCTTAAAATTTTTTTAAGGTTAAATTCTTAAATTAAATTATTGTTTTAAATAATTTCTAAGTGTAAAGCTAATGTATAATTGTTTGTGTGACGCTTCTGTCCAGGGGGTTGAGGCGTTACAATGTGCTTGTGTGAGTTAGTTAGCCTAGCTAACAATGAGTAATATGTTAAATTATGAATTAATCTATGAATAGTGAATAAATTGCATCCTTAAAGTTAGTTTTTACTTTTCCATGTAAAAGTTGATATATTTTGAGCACATGAATTAAGTTAAGCATTGTATAGGACTAAGATGATTTCCTAATTGGATAGGTTGAAATAATGGACTATAGATGCTACATCCAAAACCACTATATTTTACATGTGTGAAATTAAAAATCATGCATGGATTGTCTAAAGTCAATAGTATGAAACTGGGCGAAAGTTTTAAGTTAGAAGACAGTTTACTTGGATATGCGTTTAATGTGGAACATTGTACCAATCAATGTGTGTATATATTTGAAAATTTCTCTTCGTGGCCTTTATGACTCGAGTTATTAAGCCTGTAAGGGTGTTAAAACCTATTGCCCTAAAGTCAATTGAATTGGGAATATTGGCCTAAAGCTCATTAAGAGGGTCATTTCGAAAGCTTAGAGGAGAGAATACTACAAATAAAGGCAAACAAAGTGATGAAATAAAAATTGAGGAAAAGATAGAAAAGCAAGTGTATGAAACAAAAAAAGCACTGAATGCCTTGGTTAATGATAAGTGCGTTTTTGTGCACTTAATTAATGCACAAACATGGCTAAGTCACGAGCAAATATTTAAACTGTGGCTTAAATTCGTTCAATTGTTGGATTGTAGGGTATAGTGATGGACATGGTAGAATTCACAAGAAAAAAAGCAAAAAGACCAAAATGAAAGTTCAGGGACCAACATACAAATATCCAAAAGATGAACCAAAGGAGCAATCAAAGATTCAATGGAGCCAAGTACCAACTGGAGGTTAACATTTATAGAAAAAATGAAAAGAAGGAAGAAACGAGTCCAAGAATGTGGAAAATAAAGTTTAAGGACTAAAATCAACGTTCGAAAAAAAGGGCAACCTAACCTATGCGATCGCATAGGTGCCTCCCAAAAGTCCATGGGCCGAATTTTTTTAGCCTATGCGACCGCATAGTTTAAGCCTATGCAGTCGTATAGGCATAAATCAGGGACCGAACCTGTAGTTTCCTATTTTCAATATAATTCTTTTGGAACTCGATGGGGATGCGATATAAAAACCTAGAGCCATCATATTTCGAGGTAGAACGCATTGGAAGGCAAGAAAACACATCTTGGAGAGGATTTTGAGCCAAAGTAACAAGGATCCATGAGATGATCATCAAGAGCTCAAGCAAATTCATAAGCCGGTGATGCTTTCCTTCAATTTATCATGTGTTTTGTAATTTTCTCCATGATAGGCTAGGTTTTCATGTACTAGGAGATCCATGTACCATATGATGTGATTTTTTTTAATTTCTAGTTTTCGATTTGACAATAAACACGTATTGAATGTTTGAATTATTTATATACAATAATTTTCTTCCATAATTAAGTGCATGTAATTATGTGAGTTTGGTGATTTATTTCATCTATTTGAGAGAAGAGAAATAAATTAGACACGGTATAAATCGTCATAGGGTCCGATAGGGGATAGAAATATACCCCTATACTTTGCGTGAATCTTTAGATTTTCGTAAAACCACATGCATTTTAATATATATACTTGTCATAGAGATATAGGCCGGTGGTATATAAAAATAAGTTCAATACATCTCGGGAGAGAGTGTGTTGAATAGATTTAGGAGCATTGATTCGTCAATAATTCAACGTGTTGTCATTTTGTGAAATTAGGGTTAAGATTGATCATTGCATGGGAATTCGTGATCCTAGTACTTTTTAATTTTCATTGAATACAACCAATTTGCATTCTAAACATATAATTTGCATTTTAATTCATTAAAATATCCTTTTGCATACTGAGTTCATTCCAATCATCAATTTTGAATAATTAGGATTTTTATAAACTAGGGTTTTACTAAATTAGGGTTTTTGTAAGAATGACTTCCTGTGTTGACAAATTTGTTTCAGTTGGGGCTAAAATAGTTAGAATTGAGCTATTCATTCTCTGTGGAACGATATTCGGAACTTAACATTCCACTTTATTGCTTGTTAACGAATCGTACACTTGTAGCAATGTTAAGTCGAAAGAAATATATCGAGGAATCTTAGACGATGTAATCAGATTAAGGTTGTTCCCACATACACTGCGCGGCAAGGCAATTGAATGGCTAGTTCACAACCAATCGCAAGCATCACCACATGGAATGACCTAGCCCAGAAATTCTACACTAAATTCTTTCCACCTGCTAAGATTGCAAAGCTCAAGCACGACATCTCTGTTTTTCACCAAGGCGACTCGGAGAATTTTGATGAAGCCTGGAATCGGTTCAAGAATATGCTGCGAAAGTATCCACACCATGGGATTAGCAATGGACTTCAGGTCCAATACTTCTATGCAGGATTACTTCCAGCCTTTGAAAGCATGGTTGACTCATCATCAAACAGATCACTGTCCACAAAGACAATTGATGAGGCACTGAAACTCTTTGAGACTGTGGCTCCCACTTCAGCTGTGTGAACATCAGAACGAGCAATTCAGAAGAAAACACTGGGGGTTTATGAAGTAAGCGTTTATTCTGCCTTGTCAGCAAAAATTGATTCATTATTCCACAAGGTAGAGAACATGACACAATCAACCACCGTAGCACAGTCAAAGAAGGCCAGTTGTGAAGGATGTGGAGCTAAACATGTAACAACAGAATGTCCAATCTTGGTACAAAGAATAGAGCAGGCAGATTTTGCTCAATGGAGATAGCGGTAGCAAAACAACACATATGGGCAAACATACAATTCAAGTTGGAGAAAGCACCTATATTTCTCTTGGAGCAATCAAAACCAGAACAAACTACAGGTTCAATATCAGCAGCCAGAGAAAAAGCCTCAATTAGAAGAGATGTTTAGTAAATTCATAGAGAAGACTAATCAGCATATGGAAGCTAACAATCAATTCATGAGGAAAACCGAAGCCACTCTTCAAGACCAGAATGCAGTAATAAAAAATTTAAAGACTCAAATGGGACAGATGGTAGTTGCTTTGACTGGCAGAGCACCAAACAGTCTACCCAGTTACACGAAAATAAAATTAAAAGAGCATGCTAAGGCAATTACAACTTGAACAGGGAAGTAGCTACTAGAAATTCACATAAAAAGGTTGGGTGTAAATTAAGAAATAGAATCTCCAACGATAGAAGAACCTACAGAGCATGATGAGCAGATAGAGAAATCTACCCTAGCCGAACAATTGGGCAAAACACAGAGTAAAGAAACCGTTAACCCTCACGAGCCACCCATACCTTTTCCACTGAGGCTAAAATACTCGAAGTTGGAGCAACAGTACAAGAAATTTCTTGAAGTTTTTAAGAAACTCCACATCAACATCCCACTTGCCGAAGCACTATTCCAGATGCCTAGCTACACAAAGTTTCTGAAGGACATACTATCAAACAAACGCAAGCTAGGGGATCATGAAACAATAATGTTAACATAGGAATGCAGTGCCTGAATTCAGAAAAAAGCTCCCACCAAAATTGAAAGATCCAAGGAGTTTTACTATTCCTTGCACTATTGGTGAAGTTCATTTTGATAAAGCTTTGTGTGATCTTGGTGCAAGTATTAATTTAATGCCTCTATTTGTTTTCAGGAAACTTAGCTTGGGAAAGGCTAAGGCGACTACTGTAATGCTGCAGTTGGCTGACAGGTCATTAACACATCCAAGGGGAATAATTGAAGATGTGCTTGTCAAGGTGGAAAAATTTATATTCCCTACGAATTTCCTAACTTTGGACATGAAAAAAGACAAGGATATTCCATTGATACTTGGCAGACCATTTTTGGCAATAGAAGAGCCTTAATCGACATACAGCATGGGCAATTGATATTGTGACTGGGAGAAGAGTAGATCTCGTTTAATGTTTTCAAGGCAATGAAACTGCCTATAGAGACAGATAGCTGTTTCCAGATCGACTTGATTGATAAGGTGATCCAAGACTCATTTTTACTACACAACCCATCAGATTCATATGAAACTTGCATTTCACATTCGCAGTCAACGCAGTCCGACTCAATAGAGATGGAAACTTTTGCAAGGTTTCTGGACACCAACCCACCTTATACACACAGAAGGCATTTTGAGGAGCTTGGAACAGGACCTACGAAACCACTACCATCAATTCAGCATCCATCGAAATTAGAACTCAAGCAGTGACCACCGCATCTCAAATATGCTTACTTGCGGGAATCCTGTACGCTCCCTGTGATCATTTCAAACACAATTAGTGAAGTGGAAAAAGAAAAACTGCTTAGGATACTCTGGGAGAATAAAACAGCAACTAGATGGACCATAGCAAATATCAAAGTGATCAGCCCTTCATTGTGCATGCATAAGATTCTCATGGAAGAGAATTTCTAGCCAACCATAGAAAGTCAGCGAAGGCTAAACCCAACTATGAGGAAAGTGGTTAGAGCAGAGGTACTCAAGCTTCTAGATGTTGGAATCATCTATCCAATATCAGACAGTGCATGGACTAGCCTAATTTTGGTAGTGCCAAAGAAAAGAGGAATAACGGTAGTGTCCAATGAGAAGAATAAGCTGATACCGACCAAAACAGTTACAGGATGGAGGGTTTGCATCAATTGCCACAAATTAAATGTAGCAACAAGGAAATAACACTTTTTCCTTCCATTTATAGACCAAATGCTGGAGATATTGGCATGCAACTCATATTACTACTTTCTCGACAGGTACTCAAGCTAAAATCAAATACCAATGGTACCAGACGATCAAGAGAAAACTACATTCACGTGCCCTTACGGTACTTTCGCATACCGCAGGATGCCTTTCGGCCTTTGCAATGTCCCTGCCACTTTTCAACGTTGTATGATGGCAATTTTCTCAGACATGGTAGAGAAATTTATTGAGATATTTATGGACGACTTCTCAATCTTATGGTCTTCTTTTTACGAGTGTTTGGAACACTTGAATCTGGTATTACAAAGATGTGGGGAAACTAATTTATTATTAAACTGGAAAAAATGCCACTTCATGGTGCAAGAAGGGCTCGTACATGGGCACTGGGTCTCAGCAAAAGGGATTAAGGTGGACAGGGTAAAGATTCCGGTTATTGAAAAGTTACCACCACCAAATCCGTTTAAGGGGTTCGCAACTTCTTTGGACATGCTGGATTCTACAAGAGATTCATAAAGGATATTACAAAAATCACCAAGCCCCTCTGCAACTTATTAATGAAAGACGTGCCCTTTGAATTTAATGAGGAATGTTTGACTGCTTTCAACACTTTGAGGGAGAAACTCACGTCAGTGTTGGTAATTGTAGCACCTGATTGGGAGTTGCCTTTTGAGTTAATGTGCGCTGCTAGTGATCATATCGTAGGTGCAGTATTGGGATAGCGAAAGAACAAGATCTTCCATGTAATATATTATGCAAGTCAAACATTGAATGATGCCCAGATCAACTACGTGACCACTAGGAAGGAGCTCTTGGTCGTAGTCTATGCCTTTGACAATTTCAAATCATATCTCGTGGGGTCTAAGGTCATAGTCTACACAGATCAAGCTGCATTGAAGTATCTAATAACAAAGAAGGATGCCAAGCCGAGATTAATCCATTGGGTATTACTGCTGCAAGAATTCGACATTGAAATTAGGGACAAGAAGGGCAGTGAAAATGTGGTAGCAGATCACCTATCGAGATTAGAACAAAAAGAACCAGAAGTGTCAGTGGAAATCAATGAAATTTTTCTGGATGAGCAGATGTTCAGTGTAGAAGAAGCCCCATGGTATACAGATATCGTCAATTATTTGGCTAGGTCAATCCCACCACCAGATTACTCGAGTCACCAGAAGAAGAATTCTTTGCCGAGCTGAAATATATTTTTGGGAAGATCCTATTCTTATAGGTGAGGGGCTCATTAAATTGTGAGAGGTGTATACCTAAAGATGAAGTACCTGAAATTCTTGAGCATTGTCATTCATCTGCCTATGCGGGGCACCTGGGAGCTTCAAAGACTGCCACTAAGATTTTACAGTTAGGATTTTATTGGCCTACATTGTTCAGAGATGCCTTTGAGTTTGCTAAGAGGTGTGATAGATGTCAATGCACTGGGAACATCTCGAGAAGGAATGAGATGCCACTAAACAACATATTGGAGGTCGAGATATTTGATGTATGGGGAATCGATTTTATGGGATCATTTTCCCCATCGTTTTCAAATAAGTACGTCCTGGTAGCAGTTGATTATGTGTCAAAATGGGTGGAAGCAGTTGCATTGCCAATGAACGATGTGAAAATGGTAGTTGGGTTCTTGAAGAAATACATTTTTACCAGATATGGCACACCGGGGGCAATAATCAATGACGGGGGCAAACATTTTTGTAATCGCCAATTTGAGTAATTATTGAGTAAATATGGGGTTAAACATTGTGTAGCAATACCATATCATCCACAAACCTACGGGTAAGTCGAAGTGCTTAATCGACAGCTGAAGAGAATATTAGAGGTCACAGTGAATTCCTTCCGAAAGCGTTTATTGTAGCTCAATGAGTTAGATGAATTCAAAATGGAAGCATATGAAAACTTGAAGCTTATCAAAGAATGCACCAAAAAGTGGCATGATCTACACATTCAGAGATGAGAGTTCGAAGTGGAATAGGAAGTCATGTTATATAACTCGAGGCTCAAGCTTTTCCCTGGAAAATTAAGATCAAGGTGATCGGGCCCTTACACTGTCACTAAAGTTCTACCATATGGAGCTATACAGGTCAGCCATGAAACAAAAGGAACATTCACAGTTAATGGGCAAAGGCTAAAACACTACTGGGGTGGGGATTTCTCCAAGTAGAAGTCCACCATTCAACTCAGAATGCATAATTGAAATAGAAGTGGAAGAGTTGAGCTATCAACTATAAACTAGCGTTGAGTGGGAGGCAACCCATTATATCATTTATTTTGTTTAATTGTCATTTGCATTAGCTTAGGAAATTTTTAATTTCATGTTTGCATTTTTAGTTAGGTCATTGATCACCTGTGCATGTCAATAGAGTCTAAGCACCGTTCACAGGAATTCCTAGGCATAGAGCACATGTTCGGTAAGCTTGAAGTGGTTTTGAGTGATTGGGGATATAATTCATGCATTTCAAGAGAAAAGGTCATTTGGAAAAATTTAAAGGGCCAATGTGTAATTGAGAGTTCAATGTGGTCTAGGCACTAAGTTATGACCCACGCACGCACCAAGATGTTTAAAAATTTGCCTCTGAAAAGTTTTGGGTGTTGAAAGGTCGGGTCAAAGTATTAATTGAAAACCAAAGTTTAGTTAAGGTCATGTTTTTTGGGGAGAAATCAAATTTTTTTTTACTCTATTTTGTTTTGTTTTATTTATTTAAAAAAAAAAGAAAAAAAAAAGAGGGACGTTTAGTTTTAAATGAAAAAATGAAAAAGAGGGACGTTTAGTCTATGCGGCAGCATAGACTAAACATCTATGCGGCCCCTTACACTCACGCACAACTCTTGGCCCTCTCATCCCGTGCATCTCAACTACACACCACAAATACAAGATCCACAACTCATCACAATTCATAACCCACATTACAACACATCTTTCAATTCATCTTGTGGTGGTATTATAGTTCCAAATCTCTACAAGTTTGCAAGGTAAATTCGTTACACCTATTTCATCAATTCTAAAATTGGGATTTTTTTTTATCTATTGATTTATATTTGATGGAGGTTGGGTAATTGTGGTGTATATGATTGATTTGTGACATTGGATGCTAGTTTAGAAAGTTTCATATCCCAAAGTAGTGAAAACTTCAAAATGCTCATAATGTGCTTGATGAAATGCCTAAGTGACAATTTGTGTGCAATTTGGTGATTTTTTTGCATGAGTGACGATTGAAAAACATGGTGGCTACAACATTATGACGAATTCCCTCATCAATTGAAATAGAAAACATCTATATCCATTTTTCAACACTTAGGCACATGGCTAGGTTTCACGGGGTGCCTTTCTTCTTGGTACAGAAAGGGACACCGTGCGACAGTAGTCTGCTCCACTAGACTACCTTCCACCTTTTCTCGGTCGCTTCGGAATGAAAGAAAATTTGATTACAATTTTGTAGAAAGCTTACAATAGAGAATATGAATACATTGAAAGTAAATTAAACATTAATTGATGAAAACTGAACATTACAATTGATGAAAGCAGAAAATTACAATTGTTGGTGCAGGGGTGGACACCAGTGAGCTTGAAAGATTTTTGAATGACTAATACCCCCTATAATAGCATTCGGAACAAAAACCTAAGTGACAGGAGTAGGCGTTCAAAAGATGAGGAATCATACTAAACGTTTACTAATATTAGAGTTGTTTTACAGCTAAAATAACTATTACAATGAAAAGAAAATTACAACTCAAACTTGAAGTAATATTTACAATGTGCGGCCGAAGTTGGGCAAACTGTGGCTGCAATAGTGTCAAGGGGCTATGTAAAGTTGCGGTCCTTGAAATTCTCCCCCATTTGTTTTGGCTACGTCCTTGATGCCATCTATGCATGATATGCTTCAATTAATCGTTTGAAGGCTCCAAGATCTTTTTCTCTTTCCCAAGTATTCTCCTCGCTGCTGCATCCAATCCATTTGACCAAGTACTCCTGATGGTCTTTTCTAGAAGCTCGATTGATTCGATGGTCAAGAATAGCTTCAACAACTTTCTTTCTAGCTTTCTTCAGTTCAAACACAGGTCCCTTTGGCTCATTTCTCGATGCGTCCACCTTATCTACAAAGTATGGCTTCAGCACAGGAACATGAAGGACCTTGTGGATTTTACGCCATGAAGGGA